TTAAAATTTAATAAATTCTAAAATATCACCAAATTCACGTGATAAACCCGAATTATTAAAACCGGTTCCAACCTCTAGTTTCCATAAATGAATTTGTAATTTTGCATATAGATATGGTCTGTTATCATTCTGACGGAAGAAGATTTCAGTCCAAAGTTGATTAAATGGGTTATTCAAGAACTGAAGCAACGTGCTTCTGAAACAGGTAAATAATTTGAAAAAACAGGGTATCTTTAAGCATTATTAGGCTTCAATGTTTCTTCATATGCGCAACTAAAATTGAATTTCAGACACATTAAGTGTCTTTGCTGAGCCTTTTTTCCATATTTCCCTATTAGAACGTTTGGTTAGTGTTTCGCCCCTAATTTGCTCTACCCCCCGCTATGTATCTGCTATGCTATTGACGAGTTTGCACTCTAGAATTTATGATGAATATTAACGTAGATTATGCATATATTATCCTATAAAGTTGATTGGTGCAAATGGTCTTTATACTTAAATTATTTTTCTTTGATAACCAATTACATGTTGTTTGTTTATTCATATTTGTTATCACTATCGTTATATATTATGCCATATATGCTATATATGATGATAATATTATTAATATTCCATGTCACACAATGCGACACACGATGTGACAGCAGTAAAACAGTACTTGCCCTTGTACAAGATGTACGTACAAAATTCAAAAAATACACCATTTTTAGACATGTGATAAATATTGTCCTTATTTCGTGTTATACGTATGTTATGTACGTACATACGCATTTATGTATGCCCGTATGTACATACACACGCACGCACAAAGAATCATTTATTTATAGGGTTTCTTTCGGGATACCTTTGTGTATTATTTTGTATGGATCTACTAAATTAAATCTCACGTATTCCCATAAAACATCTCGCGAAATTCATTAATCTAAACTATTAATTTATGTGAAACTTAATTCCAAGATTTGCCGACTGTTAGAAAGAACCAAAAATACCGTTATATACAAAGTCCTCCTTTATTGATATTTATTATTAGCTCGTACTTAATCTACTTATAATGGCTACGAATACAACTTCCAATCATCTCACTCCTCCTCCGTCAACACTGGGCTACATAAATAACGAAAAAACTGACGACTCAATAGCGCCGATTCCAATACAAAGAAATCCCCCCTCACCTAGAACTCAATCTAAATCTATATTAACGGTCGCGCTTCAAAAGGCCCAGAAAGCTGTTCACTTTGATGAGGCAAACAATGTTGCAGCCGCACTTGAAGCTTATAAAGAGACTGTTGAATTATTATCACAAGTTATTGGCAATGCTGCAAACGAGGCAGATCGTCGGAGGTTACAACTTATCGTAAGTTTAAACAATTTTTTTTTCTTTAATCATTTTAATGAAATATGAATTCTTGGAATTTAAAAAAAAAATAAAAAAAAATAAATAAAATAATAATAATAATAATATAAAATAATATAAAATATTAAGAAATTAAAAAAAAAAAAAACACACATATTGATATCTAATATTTATAATTTTTATAATTACAATAGCACGATACGTATGCAGATCGAATACGATTACTATCAACCTTAGTTCTAGAAGCCGAAGATGATAGTGCTAGTAATGTAGATAATGAGCCAGACATAAGTGAATATATACTGAATAATGTTACATCACAATATTCTAATAATTCATCCCCTATCGAAGTTACTTCCCATCGTACAACTGAATCTAATGGTCAAAAATCTATAATAAGTAGTGATGACTCAATAGATCAAAATTCTTCAATAAAATATAACGAAAATACTTTACCTTCAAATGCTGTGAAAATAGACACTTCAATTCGAACAAATGGTGCTATAAAAAATGGTATAGATTATCAAGTTAACTCAAAAGATAATTTTAAAAATGGTGATTACATAGCACGGCCAAAGCGTTTGTCGGTTCTATCCCATAAATCAACCATTTCAACTTCCACTACTAAATCGTGGACTTCTTCAAAATCAATACATGAAATCACTGCTAATGGTTCAAAATCTATTGCTGATGCCAGTGATGTCGCTGAATCCGTTACAAGTTCCGATGATGTTGATTTTAGTTCTGACGATTTTGATTCCAGTGCAAATGGTTCTGATGCCCAAAATTTTGAAATGTCTGATACAAAATATGATACTTATTTATCTGATATAAATCGTGATTCTTCGATAAAATCTTCTTCTTCCTCAATTTCTCCTCCATCCGCTTTATCACAAGAATCAATACAAAAAGACCTTTCTTCATCTCCAACTATTAAGGATCATGTATCTCCGTTAGATCCGTTAGAATTAGAAAAACATTCATCTCCCAATCCTGCTCGAGTTTTTACTCCTCCTCCTCCTCCAAAAGTTGCTCCTCCAACTTCTTCATGTACCAGCCCTAATCTTCGTTCTGATGGTGTTCCTGTTTTTCATACTCCACGTCCACCACCATCTTATCCCCCTCAGAATACTTCAATGCTAGAGAAAAAAGCCGCCGCTTCGTCAAAAATTTCTTCAATTTCATCTACGAATTCAATCGTTCCATTAACTCGTTCTCATTCTGACGAAGAGGATGATAAGGCTTCAGTAAAATCTACTTCTGCCGAGTCAGTAACTCCTTCCTCTCCATCAGCGTCTCAATCATCTATGGAAAAATTATTCAGTAAAACGTTGATAAATAACAGACGTCCCTCTCCCCTTCCTCTGGCTCAACAAAATAACAATCATAATTCTCGTGTCATACCCGGTCATATTGCCTCGAACTCTAATCCTGTACCAGATTCTCCAAATTTGTCGCGTCCCGTAAGAACTCCACGAAGGACTACTTCGAATCCCGGTAATGCTCCTAAAAAAAATGGTGCCTCACGTTTCTTCAATAACGCACATTCATCTCAATCTCCGGGAACTCCTGCTACTCCATGGACAAATAGTCTTAGTTTCGTTTCACCACCATTAGGTAGTCCTGGTCTTTCCACATTCCGAAGTGATTCTCCAACTGTATACTCTACTAGAACTATTGATTCTGGTTACGCTAGTTGTCTTGTGAACCCTTATCCTAATCCATTAATTTATGATGAAGATACTGGTGTTCCTGTTATATCCAATACTGGAATATCTGAACTTCCACCTAATGATGTACACTTGAAACCTTTCTGGCTTATGAGGTTATTAGAACGTACAATGACGACTGGTGGTTACCTGACTCCAAAACTATATATTCCCAGGAATTTATGGTTACAAGGACATGCAAAATTGACTTCTATCGATACTAAGATTTCTAGTTGTGATGTTGTTCTTAATTGTTTAATAAGGTTATCAAAGACCTCAGTTGATGATATGGATGTATTAGTAAAGGTCAATATTAAATTAAAAACTTTAGATTAAAAATTATATATATATACATATGGGGGTGAGTCAGCAGAAATGTACCATATTTTTTCTAAGTTTTTTAAATTTTTAAACAAAAATAACAAATTAATTCTACAAACTTGTAGAATTTATTTAAAAAAATTTGTATCAAATTTGATTGAGACTTTGTTGAGTTATTTTTGTTCAAAAGTTCATTAAAAAAGATTTGGTGCATTTCTACTGACTCACCCCATATATATATATATATATATATATATTATTCCATTACTTAAATTTTATTTCTCATTCATTCATTAATAGGTATTGGAGGGTATAGAACCTATTATTGAAGGTCTTCAAAATTCTCTAGCCAGGAAATTAAGTTATGTTGAATCAACAAATGGAAAAGGTCGGCAGAGTACAAGTACACTCATGAATTGGGGCTCAAAATTGTCTCGTGGCCTTGATAAAATGGGTATGAGCAATGCAACGATTCGTAGCGAAGAAGCCAATGAATATGTAGATGTTTTGTTAAAAGTATTTCAGAATGTCGATGTTGTAGGTTAGTGATGGATTTAAACTTGTCTTCAATTCTTGATTTTAGCATAATTTCTAATTAAGTCTTTTTCCAATTAATAATTTTTAATTTTAATTTTAATTTCAATTTTAATTTTGCAAACAGAAAAGTACATCCGTCATTTCTGTTCCATGAAAGCTCCATATCATGCTAATCACTCCAAAATTGTCGATCGACTATATAAATTTGCGGACTACTTTGGCAATGTTCTTTGTCGGTTTGTTATGAAAGATCTTGGTATATTAGCAGACAAATATGTAAAAAAAGGAAGTCATTGGATTACTGAGTAACAAAAGATTCTTATTATTCTTTCGTATGAAAAAAGGCTTTTTCTTAAACGAGAAACATGTATAAATTGTCATTTTTTTGGCCATGACTTTTTTTCTTTTATTAATTTATGTATTTTTACTTATCATTTCTTTTAATGGTTTTTATGGGCTTCCCTTTTAATTCCTCATCTTTTCCTGAATCTTATCATTTTATAAAGGACCATGATTACCCAATTCCACTTGTATAGATTTTTTTTGTCTTTTTTTATTTTATTTTCGTTAGGTATCTGTTAGAAAAAAAACTCATTTGTTGTAAACCATATTTGTGTACCTACGTATTATTTTCGTAATTATCATAATGTATTCCCTAGTTTAAAAAACCTAATGATTTATACAGTATAGTTTTGAAGAGATAGTTAACGTGATTGTATCTAATTTTTTTTCTTGCAATGGTTTATTGGTTTGTTATTAGCGTTATATTAATCATTTGTGTTTTTTAATTTATATTTAGCTAAATAATGCATAAGTGAGCAATAATTCATCTTTTTTCTCTTGTTATATAGTACAAATCAAATATTAAAATATTAAAAACTTATTGGAAAAATTTAATATTGTATTTCATAAAATTAAAACTTTCTCGTAAATTCAAGTATTTGTTGAATAAGTGAGTTTTTCGCTTTTTTTTTTTTTAGCAAACTTTAAAAAATGGCGCGAACCTATGTTTTACATAATACGTATAGTTTATTTATTCTATCCATATATATATAGTAAAATAAGCAAACATTTTAAGGTTAACTACATATAAATGTAATTATTCATCATAATGATGCATTTTATTTTTTTTGTTAATTTTTTTACTACGTACGCATTAATTATCTAACCTGGAAGAGAATTGATTACTGCATTTACTAAACATACTATATTATCATATATTTCCCTTGCGCATCAAAATGACTTCCTTAAGAATTTAAAAAAATATATATTAATACTTTATATCTTATGGCATTAGCCACCTCCAATATTTTTAATCAACTTACCAATAAAGTTAATGTTTTATTTTAAAGTTAATTACTTGATGCACTTTATGTCGATATCTTATCTAATCAATCAATATTGTAATTAAAAACTATATATACCTATATATGTAATATTTTATATTATCGTATAAAACGGTTAATGTTTCTGATCATGCAATGTAATATGTATATGTTTCACCCCTGTAAGAAACTACTTAATCAGTAGTAGTGATTGGACCCGTCCAGAAAAGTGCCAACCAGGTCACCGCGGGTGGGTCACCCGGGTGGTAAGAGAAATTCTGCTACGGGTTACCCGCGGGTGGGTCACCCAGTCACTCGGGTATTAAAAGAAATTTTGCTATGGGTTATCCGTATGTAGGTTATCTCAATTGTCTGAATAGTAGAATGAATCATATACATATATAGCGTTTCAACACATCTAAAAAATTACCACCAACTGACCCGGGTGAAAATTAGGTTAGTTTAAACAATTTAAAAAGTCATTTACGGATTATTTTAAAAAACTATTTATAAGCTGTATGTGCATATAAGACTAAGGGTTAGCTTGCTAATGGTTATTTTTATTTTATATTTATGGTTAATTTAATAGTTAAATTTATTAATGATTTGAAGTAATTCAAATTTGTGAATATTAATATTAATGATTTCACCTGGAGTTTTAATTATTTGGATATTTAGTAATCTAAGTATTAAAATTATCTTTTAGTATTTTTACTGTATTTAATTTTGTTTGATTTGAAATTATCAATATGATTTGTAGATTTTAATTTACAAAAACAACCTTTTATCAAAAATGTTGGACAAAATTTTTATAAATAAGCTACATGTTATTATTATAATACTGTTATTAAAAAAAGCTTAGTATTATAGCAATATATTTTTTATATTATACTGTATAATATAAATAAGTTATTATAAATTATATAAATATATTTTTTTTGTTTGGTTAAGGTTAGTTTTTTTGGTTTATTATTTTTATTAAATATATTATATTTTTAAAATCAATAAAACTTTTAAACAGTATTTTTTTTTATTATTTAGCAATCCTGTCTTGTTTATTTAATTTTAATTATTCAAAAATTCAAGAGATTTTTATCTATAATTGTATACAAATTTGATTAAAACAAAGATATTTGCAGTATATCAAATATTAATCTTTAATTTGCTAAATATAATTTGTTTTAGTAATACTTAGTTTTATTTAAAGTTTTTAATTTACTAAAAATTTTTTTTGTTTTTTGGCTAGTAGTTAAATACTTGTCAAGATACAAAATACAAAAAGGATATTCTATAAAATAGGTGGGCAAACTTCACAAACTCCACAACTCTGCTATTAAAAAATTAATGATTACTAATCATTAGCGAAGCTTATTTCTTATATTGCCCACCTATTCTATAGAATCTTCTACAAAAATATTAAAAAATAAATACTGATAATAAAAATACAAAAATATAAGAAATTATAATAAAATATATAAATACTGAAAAAACTCTCTTTGCTGATCCTCTGTATACAAAAATACAAAAACAAAACAATGACAAAAATAACAGAAACACACAACTGGCTATAGGAAACAAGACTTGCAGCTCTAAGGAAAAAGCAAAAGACTAAAAATAATACTCAGTCTCTTAAGAGATTTAAGTAAATAGAGCAAAAGCAGCAAAGATATACTGTAATAAAAAACTTAAAAAATCGTTGATAATTTTGCCCTTTACAAGTTGTTTAGGAGATTGACCTTGACCCCGTAATGCAGATCAGTTACTGTTACACAAGATACACAACATGTAATGAAGAATAAACAAAGAAAACATATTAAAAAATATATAACAGATAAAAAAAAGAAGATATACAAACATAACAACAAATTAATCATATGAAGCAAAAAACAATAAAAAATGCTAGAACAAAACCTATAATAGCAGAACAAGCAGAAAAACAAATAGCAGCAATACATATAGAATTGAGACAACATAAAGCAGGGAGAATTAAATATACAGAACTTGCATTTAAGAAAAGAAATAATATAGCATATTAAGAGGCGGTATAATTAGAAATCAACCCAACAGAATACATTCTACTAAACGAAGTAACCAGTACTATAAAAAACTTATGCGCAGCAAAAAAAGAAAAGCTGTTTATACGTAATAAAGAAAGATTGGCCACCAAGTATGCAAAAGCTAGAATAGAAACAGGATGGATGAAAAGACTAGATAAGCAGAAAAAGTGCTGATAAAGGTAGTATAATAAAATGAATTAGAACTATTAGTATAGTGCTTTAGAGAATTAGTAGAATTAATGAAAATAAAACAACACAAAGAAAAAAAGAAAAAATAAAATTAGAAAGAAAATAAAGAAGATGCAAGTTCGACAGAAAGCAAAGCTGCTAGAACAAAAATATAAAGAAGCTAAAGAAAAAGAAGAAATATTAAAGAAAAAAAACACAGAAAGAGATATTAAAGGCTTTATAGAAAAAGAAACTTTAGACAAACTAATTGAAGAATCAAGACCAAGAATTCTGGCATTAATCTTAATAGAAGAAGAAAACTCCATTAAGATACAAATCAAAAACTCACAAAGAAAAATACTAAGATTGATAGCAGAGTTTATATACCAAGTAAACTTAGAAAGTAGACAAAAAATATTAAAGATAGGAAAAAGAAGAAAAAAGAAATCTTAAATGAATGGAGTAGACAAATTAGATCATTAATGAACATTAGTATAAATAAAGATAATATTATACAAGATGCAGCAACAAAGAGAACAATAGAAGTCAAGAATTAAAAAAGAAAAAAGAAAGACACCAGGTTTAGAATAGCAAGAAGGAGTATAAGAAAAGTAGCCAGAAATCAAGAGAAGTACTTTAAACTGCAAAAGAAACCATATAAAAGAAAAGCAAACTTATAGAATAGGAAAGAGAATGCAGATATGCAGCTCTGAACAGTCAAGAATTGGAAGAGAAAAAATAAAAACTTCATATTGGAAACAGTAAGGGGTTTTTAGAAAGACCAAAAGGTAAAGTGAAGTATACAAGATTTCAAAAGGCACTTATTAGAAGAAATATAAGACTATGGAGTAGAAGAAAAAAAGAAAGCACAAAGTTTTAATAAAAGAAAAAAAGAAGATCTAGACAAACTAACCAAGACCTAGAAGCAGAAGAATCAAAAGTAATATTAAAGAAACTAGAAGAAGGAAAAAGTTGCAAACAAATATTTCTGGAGAAAATCTATATAAAGAATACAATCAAGAGCAAAAAGAATAAGGTGAAGCTTAGGAACTGGAAGAAATACAAAAAAATAAGAGAAAGTAGAAAATTAAAGCACCAGAGCAGACTATTAGTAAAAAGAAAAGAAATGAAGTATGAAAAGATGAATTGGAGTAACTGTAGTAGATCATAGAAGGAATTAAGTAATTGCAAAATTTTTAGAATTTATAGAATAGAGAATACATAATGTAATAATATTACTTTAAGATTAGCAATTCGATGCTTTGCATTGTTTGTAAGTACTGGCCATGGCCAAAGTACAATTACATTGTGGAATATAAATATAATTAGATAGTACTAACAAGGCTGATAGTTGCTAGCTGATGATCAAAGAGAAATAAATCTTTAGTGAGTTAAGGATCTGAAGAGAGGCCAAGGACTACTAATGCAAGTTATACCTGGACGAAAGCCAAAAGTGAAT